ATTTCAAATCACTATCATGTAAACCATTAGGCAATTATTAGTTTGCTAAATTTTCAGGTTATAATTTGGTCTTCCTTATTCAATGCCCAACTTTCACATGCATATGAAGCAGGTGACAATGCCATGCCTTGAATCAGACACACTTTAGTCCTCAAAGTAACATACTTGCTTTTCAAGAATTAATGCATTTGATTTGTGGTGCTGGAAAGAGTATTCAAGGTATTATGGACTATTAAGAGGACAAATAAATCTGTCTTGTAAGAAGTACAGCCAGAGTACTCTTTAGAGACATGGATGATGAGATTTCATCTTCCATACTTAGGACATGTTTTCAGGAGAGACCAGTCCCTAGAGAAACACAACATGCTTGGTAAATAGAGGGGCAGTGAAAAAGAGCCAGGGTCTCAATAAAATGGCTTGACACAGTGATTGCAACAATGGGCTCAAGCATGGGGACACTTGTGGATATGGTGTAGGACTGGGCAGTATTTTGCTCTGTTATGCCTGGGGTCACAATAGGTTGGAACTGACTTAATGACACCTAACAACACTTTTCCAGATGACTTGATAGAAGCTCAGATAGCCTTGAGTGAAATGAATAACAAGTGGCAAATATAAGAATTATTGGTTTCAAATTTCGTATTCTATACTCATAGATGTCATTTCTGTAACCTAAATTGCTGCAGTCCATATGAAGCTTATAGTTTAAAGAATAAGTTGTTATTATGTAGGATGTCTTAGCCAGAACCAGTAGACAATGAAAAGAAATCAAAGGAATGCAATTGGACAAAGAAGAACTGAAATTCCCACTGTTTACAGATGATATAATTTTATAGAGAGAGAATCTCAAAGACTCAACAAAAAGATTGTTGGAAACAACCAAGGGATTTGGATACAAGTAGCAAAATACAAGTTTAGCAAACAGAAAGCAATTGTATTCCTATATACTCACAGGAGAGTACCAAAAGAGGCCTAATGGAAACAATATAATTTACAAAAGCCACTCAAAAGATAAAATGCTTAGAAATAAACCTAACCAAAGAAACAAAACACTTGTACAAAGAAAACTACAGATCACTATTACAAGAAACCGAGAGAGACCTACACTAATGGTAGAATACTTGTGTTCATGGATAGGAATACTTCATATTGTGAAAATGTCAACACTACCTAAAGCAATCTACAAATGCAATGCAATTGTGATAAATATGTCAACTTCATTCTTTAAAGAAATGGAAAAACAAGTTATAGACTACATATAGAAAAGGAAGAGATCCAGTCTAAGCCAAAAAAACAAAAACAATAACAACAACACAGAAGAACAAGGTAGTAAGCATTGCACTACCCAACCTCAAAACCTATTACACAGAAACAGGAGTCAAAGTGGCCTGGTACTGGTACAATGATAGATACATAGTCCAATGGAACAGAACAGAAAACTTCAAAACAAAGCATACACCTACAAGCAACTGATTTTCAACAAAGGACCAAAACATATTAAATGGGATAGGGACAGCCTCTTCAATAAGTGGTGCTGGGAAAACTGCATCTCCATATCTGGAAGAATAAAGCAGGACCCATACCTCATCATATGCACAAAAACAAACTCAAGATGGATTAGAGACCTAAATGTAAACTCCACAGATATAATTATCAATTAGAAATTTGGGACAAACTTAAAGGTTCTATTGCAAGACAGGCACACACCGTCTACCAAGTATAATAAAGGAAGCACACACAATGGAAGACAAAATCGATGACTACCCTTTAGTAAAATCAAACACTTAGGCACATCAAAAGACTCCATCAAAAGAGTAAAATGAGATTCCCAGGGATTCAGAAAAAAGTCTTTAGCAATGGCACGACAAACAAGGGTCTAATTACCAAAATCTATAGAATTCTGCAACACCTTCGTAAGAGAATTACAAACTATACAATAAAAAGTGGACAAAAGACATGAATAGACAGTTCAGCACAAATGACATTGAAATGCCACACAAACACATGGCTCATAATTATTAGCCATTTGAGAGACACAAATCAAAACTGTGACAGCCCAATTCATAAAACAAAACAATGTGCTGGAGATGATGCAGAGATGTTAGAACTCTTATGTGGACATATTGGAACACAACTGGTAGGATTGTAACTATACACGACCATTGTGAAAATCAATATGGTGCTACCTAGAACAATTGATAATAGAAATCCCATATGACTCAGCAAAGACGTGAGACACAGGAAACGAACAGATGTAGGCTATCCCATGTTCATTTTAGTCAAGTTCACACTAGCAAGAAGCTGGAAACAGCCAAATACCCCGTGAGAGAATGGATAAAGAAACTATGGTATATATACATAATAGAATACTATGCATCTCTAAAATACAGTGATGAAACCATGAAATGTCTCATGACATAGATCGACATGGAAACCATCATGCTGAGTGAAGTCAGTCAATCACAAAAGGACAAATATGGTCTGAGAGCACTTCTGTAAGCACCAAGACAAAGGCAAGGCTCCTGTTTTCAGGCTGTGCAATCTTCTAATCCTGCCTTCCAAGTAACGGAAGTGAGTCTGCCTAGTGCCCATGAACCATACACCATCCCCTTCATTTATGCATCTTAAAAACCACTTCGAAAGAGGAGACCTCACCAGCTAGACTCAGTTTCTCAAGATGGGACAGAGCGAAAATACCAATCAGTTTCTGCCACACAACATTGTTCTGAGGTCACCCCAAATCAAAAAGGCATCCCTCACTCCTCCAAGAGTGATTAGTGAAACTTATGGGAATTTAATATCAAGATACTGTGTGTGTGTGTGTGTTCAGGGGTGGGGTTGGGGGAGATATGTCTGTCTCTTGGAGAAGGGGATTACACATACACTCTGTATGTATGTATTTATATATGTATGTATATATGTATATATACACACACATTTATATAATAGATTTATCACTTATTTGTACATGAGAGAAAAATAGGACTTTCTATCTTGGGCACTCGTGGGAAGTTCTACCCTTCCCTATAGGATTGCTATGAATCAAAATCAAGTCCATGATAGTGAGTTTGCTTGTTTGTTTTTGTACATCTTGAAAACCATGTTGACATATATAAAACATAGATACATGAATAGAGTTTGAGTTTAACTTAACTGTAGCCCTAATCTAAGAACATGTAGTTTTTATCTCATGGCCCTGCTCAGCATTGTCCTCATGAAGTGAAAATATCACTGAAGATACTGGTGTCCTCACAGAGTGTGGTGTAGGAAGCAGAGGGTGCTCAGCTCTCAGAAAGAGTAGTATTTGGGATCTTAAAACAAAGAGCTGTTTAAATGAGGCTTCTACTAAGTCCACATGGAAGGAACCACACACGCTTGTGTGATCCAAGGATTGCAAATGAGAAACTCCAAATCAGAGGAGGGAACAGTATTGGAGCTTAAATTCTAAGCTCCTAGTTCATGAAGGCTGTGTGGATGACAGTGAAATCCCCAAATCCATTTACATAATCCATCAAGTGGATTAATTCTCCAGTGAACTCTCTATGAGTATGAATCAGGGATGGGAATGACATTGTTTTCAAACAAAGTGTGTGTGTGGGGTGGATTACTGCAGAAGTAGTTAGGTTAAATGTGACAATTTGTCATTTGATATCCCTTTTGATGTAATATATTTTTTCCCAACTTTTAATATTTTCTGCTTTCTTTTTGGTTGATGTTTTTCTCTGTTTTATTCTCTCATTGTTGGGTTGTTTTAGGCTTTGATTTTTGGGAGGTATATTTTTCTATATATGAATTCTAGATTAGGTGAATCTATAAAAACAGCAACTGGATTAATTGTTTCCTAGAGACATGGCAGGGGAGATTGGTAGGTAGTGGAGAGGTAACACAGTGAATTCAAGGGAGAAGAAATGACTTAAAATTGCTTGTGATGATGACTACACAACTCTTGAATATAATTGAACTATTGAAATGTGTATTATTTGAATCTTATGTCAATAAAACTTTTTTTAAAGTAAGTTGCTAAGATATCAGTAATAACAGTCTCTATAAGTCAATGTTTAAAATTCATGATATGATTATGATTAGTTTATATTAAAGGGACTACTTCTATCAATTTTATTGAGTATGGTAAATAAAGTTTTGTTTTCTTTTGTAATGGACAATGTGGTAATATGAAATTAATGGTTAAAATCACTACAACAATACTCTTTATCCTTCTGTATTTTGAATCATTAGCAAAGCTAAGAGAATATTTTTATTTTAAATACTCTCTTTAGGGATTGAAGAATTAGTTACACTTAAGCCTTAAAATGACTAATTATTAATTATCATTGTGATGAAATGTCTACCTTTTTCAGGTATGTATTTAATTAGGCAGTCACATAAATATTCATTAGAACCCAAATATTCCCCACAAGAATGATGAGAGCACCATAAATTATTAACAGTGTGAAAACAATTAATTTTAATATATTAAAAACCAGAAGTGTAATAGTTCTGTTTAGGTGCAGCAAAGAAAATTCAATAGCAGTATGTAAGTTTACTCTATAATTAAAGTCTTAGTAGAATGAACTGTTGAATTGGTGATTTTCTAGATTAAAAATGAAAAATCATTTTTATAATACCATTTTTATTTTCAAGTATCTATGTCATCACTCATTGTCTTAATCAATTTTGAAACATGTAGAGTATCCTGAAATTTTTTTGAGACAAGAACTATGAAAAATATATTTCCAATTCAGTGCTCAAGTTCAGAGTAGTGGCATTAAAGATATATTTCCTTGATAAATAGCAATGGCATTATTGTTATGTAAATATGTTTTCCTATCATATTGAGGAGTTTGTGTGACAAGATATATATTTAAAATATATTACATATAATGTATTAAAATATATTATATCGAAAAATATATTAAAATAAAAATATATATTAAAATATATATACACTGTATATTGTTCTGTTTTTAAAAAATATATATTGTTTTTCTGTTTTATGACAGCACCATTTTGCATGAAGCTTTATCAGGAAATTCTACAGTTTCCAAATGGTGCATTGGTGTGGGCCTTCCTAAAACCTATATTGCATGGAAAAATACTCTATACACCAAATACTCCTGAAATCAATGAAGTCATTCAAAAGGTAAGCTGAAATGAAAGAAATTTACAGATTGTGCAAGTATTACACCAGGAATAAATCATTTAAATATTTAAAAGAATTGCTGGGTGCATAGTTAATAAATATTAACTAGAACTAGAAATTATACACACACACACACACACACACACGATTAGCATTCTTTTTGGCCTGGATATTTTTCTCATTGTTGTTAAAATTGCATTTTCTGAGTCATTTTCTTAGAGGGTAATATTTTATGGGCGTTGTTTAAGAAGAAATGGTGCATTGAAATTATAGAACATTAAACATTGTCATAAAAATTAAAAATTGTAATTCCCAATTGATGTGCATTTGGGCTGTTTCCAGCTTCTTGCTACTGTGAACTGTGCTGCAGTGAACATGCAGAAGGCTGCATCTGTTGTGTCTGTCTCTTCCTTCTCTGGTGTACATGTCTCGTAGTTGTAGTCCTAGATCACCTGGCATTTCTACTCCCAGTTGCTTTAGTTAGTGTCATATTGTCATCCACCGCCCCCAAGGGCTATGACATCCAACTTCTCCACATCCTCTCTGGCATTTGTTCTGTTTTTTATTATTTTTTAATTGAGCTATTGTTGTGAGTGTAAGGTAATATCTCATTGTAGTTTTGATGTTCATTTTCTGGATGACTGGCAATCATGAGCGTTTCCTTGTGTGTTAGTGATTTGAGTCTCATTCCTTGTGAAGTGTCTTTTAATATCCTTTGACGACCTTTTAATTGGATTGTTTTAAATTTTTTTTCATATTGAAGTGTTGCAGAATTTATGAAACATAAATTAGTTAGTTCCTTGTCTGTTGTGCTATTGTTAAAGATTTCTTTCCCACCTATGGATTCTCATTTTACTCTTTTAATGAAATATTTTGATGTACTTAAGTATTGTACTTTTTAATAGGTTCCAATCACCTATTTTGTCTCCCACTATGTGTACTTCCTTTATTATACTTGATAGTCTGTGTATGCCCTGAAATAGTACCTTTATGTTTGTCCTAGTTTTATGAATTGATGATGATAGCTCTGGGGTTTACATTTAGGTCTTTAATCCATCTTGAGTTTGTTTTTGTGCATAGGGTGAGGTATGGGTCCTGTTTCATTCTTCTGGAGAGAGGGATCCAATTTTTCCAGCACAATTTGTTGAAAAGAGTGTCCCTTTCCCATTTAATCTTTGGTCCTTTGTGGAAAATCAGTTGCTTCTAAGTGGATGCTTTTATTTCTGTGTTTTGCATTCTATTCTATTGGTCTATGTATTTATCATCATACCAATACCTGTTTTGACTACGTGGCTGTGTAGTAGGTTTTGAGGGAGGGTAGTGCAAGGATTCCTACTTTGTCCCTTTTTTGAAAAATTTTTACTTATCCTGGATCTTTTTCCTCTCTATATGAAGCTGGTAATTAGCTTTTCCATTTCTTTAAACAATGGTTTTGTAGCAAAATTGCATTGTTTTTGTGTATTGTTTTAGGTATTATTAACATTTTCATGATATTTAGCCTTCCTATCCATGAATATTGAATATTCTTCCATTAGTGTAGATATCTTTTGGTTTCTTGTAATAGTGTTCTGTAGTTTTTTTATATAGATCTTTTGTTTCTTTGGTTAATTTTATTACTAAGTATATTATTTTTTGTGTGGCTATTGTAAATGGTATTGTTTTCTCTCTTTTTTTGAGTTCTTTACTGTGTATATATGGGAATCCAATTGATTTCTGTTTGTTAAACTTGTATCCTGCTACTTTACCAAACCCCGGTGTTTTGTGGACTATTATCCACTCTGTAGGGATAGAACTAGGGCTTTGTACTCCCATAAACAGTTACAGTCTCAGAAACCCAGAGGGGCAATATTACTGTGTCCTATTGGACCATTGTGAGTTAGCATTGACTCAATAGTAGTGACTTTCTTTTTTTGCGGGGAGGGAATCATCCTAACAAGCCTAAGACAAGTGCAGTACTGAGAGAACTTTTCTCTAACAATCCATTAATCACGGAAACATGTTTAAACATGCATAATTTGAAATAAACACATACCTGTATGAAATGGAATCCAAAAATTAGATATTAGTTAAGCATATAGGTGTATTTTTGAGAAGCAAGCATGGACAAGCATTGTTTTATTTAATTGATATGTATTGGGGACATATACTGCACCCAGCAATGGTTTAAATCCTGGAAACCCAGTGGTGCACAGGTGTATGTCTCCTGGATTGAGGAAGACAAAAGGGAATGGGGCTTGACTTTGTACTTTAGCTGCGAGGACTTTTCACATTGCATACATATGTACCAGTCAATTAGCATGCAGATGGAAATGATGGGCTTCTGCTTAGATGACAAAATTATTCACAATGTTATGTGCTCTGTTATAGTTTTTTTTTTTTTTACAGCACAAAGGAGTCTCCTGAATATATATTTTTAATTTGATTAGAACTATATAAAAATATGCTTTATTTTTCAGGCTAATTATACATTTTATTTTGTGGACAAGATAAAGACATTATCAGAAACACTACTGAACGTATCCAGCCTTTTTCAGAGAACTGGGAATAGCCAGATGCTTAACCAATTTCAGGTGAGTGATGAAGCATTGCTTCTCTGGTTGGTAGAGTATATGTGACAAATCAGAATGATCCTTTAGAAGACTACAAATTGATAACTGGCATAAATAAGCTAGGATAAGCACAGTACTTAGAATAGTGTTTTGCACAAAGGAAAAACCACTGTGTTAATCTGGGTCTTCCAAGAAACAAATGTCAAGATGGAGTTGCAGAAACACCTGGTAGAGAACAAGATTGAGGGAACAGGAAGGCAGGAAGGGCTGTCAGACTGTGACTGTGACCGAAAGAGATGTAGAAATTTGAGAGGAAACATCCTTTGTGCAGTTAATAAATGTTGGTTAGACTTTCAGGGAGTTATTACGCTGAAGTTGGCTATGGAAGGAATCTGTGTCATCTGGGAATGGGCTTCAATAGGCATCCCAGTTGCATCTTGACATTCACAGGGGATAGCCTGTGAGGTGTACAGTGATCAAGCACTCAAGAAGAAGATTTCAGGGAGGTGGAATTCAGAACACCACACCTGAGCCTACTGGACTATGTTTATTGAAGTTGGAGGTCTGTGGTGTTCATTCTCATTGTAGCCACAGTTGTATGCTTGCTATTATTGTTTTTATTCTACTAATTTTCTGCTCATTGACCTATTTGTCAGTACAGAGATCAACAGATCATTTTTTGTTTTGTAACTGGCCAGACAGTAATTGAGACTTTGATGCATTAATTATAATTACATACAATAGAAATGACAAACTGAATATGTACAATTTCCCTGATGGTGCCATGAGTTATGCATTGGGCTATTAATTTCCGGTCAGAGGTTTAAATTCACCAACTGCTCTAAGGGTGAAAGATGAGTCTGTTTGCCCCTTCAAAGTTGTACAACCTTAGAAACTCTAGATCAGGTCACTGCGAGTCTGAATCAACCCAGCAGCAGTGGATAGCCTTTTGACTGTGATTACATAAAGAAACACCTAACACACCGTCAAGGACCCCTAATGGTGCAGTGGTTTAGTACTTGGCTACTAATTGAAAGGTTGGCAGTTTGAGTCCACCCAGCACATTTTAGAGGAGAAAATGGATATCTGTGCTTGGACAGAAGAGAACCTGGAAAACCCATCAGGTCAGTTCTACTCTGTCCCACGGGGTTGCTGGGAGCCAAAAGCTCCTCCCCAGCACCTAATAACAACAGTGGCTCAAGAGTTGGGCAAAGATTCCTGGGGAAATTTATAATTTGTCTGCAGACTGTTTACTAAATAGTCACCTTGGAAATTAAAGCCACCTGTTCCTTCCTTTACATAACTTTTGAGCTTACACAGAATAAAGTATTTTAAGTTATTATTTTATTTCTTTTAGCAGTGGGATCAAGTTTAGTTTATTATGGCTTTATTTTTAAGTCCAGACCTGTGTTTGTGGCTTAGTTCCATGGATAAATAGTTTTTATCTTTGAGTATTTCCTATACTGATGATACTTTACCTTTCTTATCAGTAAATCCCCCAAACTGTACCCATAGCCCATGGGTTGATTCCAACTCCTAGTACCTCAATAGAACAGAGGGGGTGGCTCCTGTGGTTTCCAAGACTAAACCTTTACAGGAGCCGACAGCTTCATCTTGGTCCGGTAGCACAGCTCGTGGGTTTGAACAGCTGATTTTGAGGGTCACAGTCAAATGCTTAGCTCACTGAACCAACTGGGCCCCTTTCAATAGTGAAAAGCAAAATTGGTTTCCAAATGGTGAGATTGGGAGAGTATATGAAATAATAAATGACTCAGCACATTGTCTGGCAAATGCCCAAAGAAAGGAGATAAATAAGATTCTGAAAAAACAAACAGCACAAAACAAAAACCCCAAAGAGCACAAGCTGCCAATAGTTTTGTCATTTTTATGTGGCGTGTAATTGCCATTTAAATGAGGCAAATAAAAGAAATGAAAGGGTAGCTACTAAAGGTACTAGGCTTTTTACCTTAAATGTTCCATGTTATAAGGTTGTGTGCTAAAACAAAGTCGTGTTAACATACAAAAATAATTGTTCTCTATTGAACTCACCAACTCCAAAATTAGTCCCTTTTTTTTAATGCTGAAGTTCAGCCTGACTGCATCAAATGTTTTCCACTGTGTATCTTGCTGGTTTTTGAATGCTGGGCATGTGATGGTTCAATGCAAATAAATGCATGCCGATTGCTATGCAAAGACATCATGTTTTATTAAGTCCATGACTGTGATTTTAAAGAAACTCCATAGAAAAAATCTTTGTGAAATGAAGCAGAGTTAGAACCCTTCATAATGAGATAAAAATGATAGTTAACAAAATAAAGATGTTTTCAAGGAGAGTGATTTGAGTATCAATGATTAAGACACAGTTTGGGGAAAATAATGTAACTGGTCTTTAGTGGCTTACAATAATGACTACCTCTTTACATTTGGACCGTGGAAAATTAAATATGAAGCTACGAAGGTTGTATAATACCACCACTAGTTTTGTTAGCATTGTCCGCCCCAAATTAAACACTTGGTTCATTCTTTGTTCCCAATATTGGTACAAATCACAATTATAATCTAAATGATCATAGTTATTTTTCTAAAGATAAAATCCTACAAAATGTGCCCCACTATTCACTATAATTTTTTAGAATCTCTTTTAAGTGGATTCACTTTATGGACAATTTTTGTGCAGTGAATCTTTGAATAACTAAAAATTAGTCAATAAGGAAATTATAGAAGTATTTTTACTAGTGACGCTGTATTGTTTGCTTTTAGGAAGCCCTGAGAAACAAATTTATAAGAACATTTATAGAGAGCCAGTTGCATATTGATGTAGACAAACTTACTGAAAAGCTTCAGTCGTATGGTAAGTGTGCTGGGGCTGCTCGGGTTCATATGCCAATGCTTCTGCCATTGGGGTCCTCACACTTGGGCCACTGACTAGCTGGTGACACTAGTTTCTGATGTCTCATCGCTAAAATGATTCATTTAAACTAAATCAGCTCTGAGGATTTTTCCTACCTAAAATTCTCTGCTTTGCTGACTCCAGGCTGGAATAAAAAAGAACTTAGCTAAGTTCAACAACAACAATGAATGCATCCTTCTGATTTGAATTTAAGGATATGAGTTACAAAGAAACTTGACATAACAGGACTATTATTATTTTAAAAAATTGATTACATTAATTTAAAAAGGTATATCACAGATAAAAATCTATCCATATGCAAAAATGTGTGGAAACACTGCACCTTATTAATTCATTAATTCCTTAGATATTGATATGTGTACGGGTGTGGAGAAAGTAGATCATTTTCTTACAGCACAGTCTAGTGGGGGAGGATGAACATGCTTACAGGCAAAGACAATTGGTGAGGTGAGATTTCTCTCATGAGCACACGTGGAAGCTCGAGCTAGAGAGGAGATCTGCAGAAAGAAATGCTTCTCCAAAAAGAAAACCATTGAGCTCAATCCAGTGTCAGGCAAGTGCAGGTCACTTCTATGGCCCGTTTAGAAGAAAGGGGCTAAGGTTTGCCTGACGGATACAAGTTCAGAGACTGTGACTGTCCAACAATCCGTTGCGGTGGAATTGATTCTACCCTCAAGTGACCTGTGTGTGCCAGATATAACATGCTCCATATAATTTTCTTTCTTTCTTTTTTCTTTAAATACTTTTATTGGGGCTCTTACATCTCTTATCACAATCCATACATTCATCCAGTGTGTCAAGCACATTGGCACATATGCCGCTATCATCATTTTCAAAGCATTCTCTTCCCACTTAAGACCCTGATGTCTGCTCCCCATTTCTTCCCCCTCCCTCCCCCCCACCCTCTCTCACAAACCCTTGCTAAATTATAAATTATTATTATTTT